AAAAGAAGCATATAACAGTTTTTTGAAAAACCAGCAGAAAATACCCTTCTTCAATAATTGTGAATTAGCTTGGAGTTTTACTGAACATAGTCAGATAGTTATTTGTTTGATATGTGTTATTTGTTGTGATATAATTGGTTTGGTTTTTACCATATAATTGCTCAAAGTCAAATTGGGTCTTTGTGCTCCGCCCTACCTTATTTTAAATGCAACACTTTATAATTTTTCATATCATGTTTTTTGATGAATATGAAATTAATCATTGACATTGTGTTTTCAATGGTTGTTGTTTTGATTGATTGCCTTATGAAGGACCAATTGTAAAATACTTTATTGATAACTGTATATATTTATTTTATAAGTTATAATAGTATTTACAATAATTTTAATATGTTTTCGATTACGTATTGATTGATTTGATTTTGGTTTGATTAGCGATTGATGATTTTTTGTTTATATATCAATATAACCGCATGCTTTGATTGGCGCGAACAGACATTTTAATCAATAGTGGACTTTGTAATTTGAAATCTTACTATTCGATTTCGTGATCGTACCCGAATTATAAATATGTAATAAAACATTAAAAATTATTTGGATTTTTTAAATGTGATACGATATGAGACATGAAGGAAATAAATAGCTTTATAAAAAGAAATTTTTGAAAGAAGGTTTTTTTTTTAATTTACAGTGTAAGTACAACTCGCCTCCAAATGAATTAATATGCGTTCTTTTCTAATTTTTACAAGCGGTTCATCTAGTCGAACGAGCACATCGGCCTGGAAGTGATTTCCGCTCTCGGAGCGTGAAAAAAAGGCAGATTAAAAAAACATGCAATACAAAAACAAAACATTAGCTTTTTGAGATTCGGGGGGTGATTCGTTAATTCCTCCTTTTTTTCCTTTACTGCAAGCAGATACATGCTGGATGATTTTACGAAGCTTATTTATGTCTTAATTGAAAATCACATTTTGTTATGTGTTTCTAATTGAAAAAAATAATAATAAATATATAATGAAAGATAAATGTATATTGAATTTGATGTCGACATATTTATTAAGAAAGTCTAATAATCAGACTTAAGAATTTATTTTACAATCTATACGTTGCTATACTATCACCTTTACCATCTACTTAAAATAAAAACAGGTACTATAATTAATTTAATTGACCTACAGTGCTTCCACCTAAAAAAATATTGGGACAGCAATATCAAGTAAATTTCAACCAATAAACAATCGCACTGAACGCATTTTACCTGACATAAAAACCTCATTCTGGTGTCATATGTCTACCATACATTAAGGATCTGTATTGTTATTGGAAAAAACTATTTTACAAATCAGGACTCCGACTTGTCAACAACTTTACAACACAACTAACACTATTTTCACTAAATCAAAAAACCCTTTTTAACATCGAACGACTTAGAAATCGCGTATATCAAATTAACTGTCTAAATTGCAATTCAGTTTACATTGGAGAAACGAGCCTGAACTTGATAAAGAGATTACAACACAAAAATAATCTTTCATCTTACAAAAAAAAATTGGGACAGAAATATCAAGTAATTTTCAACCAATAAACAATCTCACTGAACATAACAGTTTACCTGACCTAAAGACTCGGTTTAGTGCCATATGTCTACCATAAATTAAAGATTTGTATATTCCTTGGAAAAAACTATTTTACAAATTAGGACTCTGTCTTATCAACACTTTTACCACACAACTAACATTTTTTTCACAAAAACAAAAACCCCTACAAGTTAAAAATTAATCAAAGTTTGGAAAAATACGATAGTCAAAATTTGTATCAAAAGTCGTTTTTTGATGTGATGAGACAAAATTTAAATTTTTAAATCTATATTTATCACATATTATCTTCAGTTGCATTTGTCTGGCATTTAGTCCCTCCTAATTTCCTTAAACTAAATTATATCTATATGTATTTGTGTTTCCATAAGGGAGTTTTTAAGGGATCTCTTTAGACAGAGTCACCCTTATCTATATTAATTTTCTATGCCCACCCTATTTAATTTATCGCAAAACATTAAAAGAAAAAGGACTATCGGATGACAGTGACTAAATATCGTCGATGTAAAAAAACGGTGAACCGAAAAATGAGAAGAAATGGGGTTGTCTGTAAATGATTAGTGATATACATATTAGTGTACCAGGGTAATATTTTATTCAGTTGTATTTCTATTTAATTTGTACAGTATTTCTTTGTCATCGATGTTTTATGACATGAGTAAAAAGTGTTGAAACGACATTTTTTTACGGCCATTAAAATCAATTTTATAATTAAAGCATTCCTGATTATATGCTTGTAAATCTTATAATTGAAGCATTTTACTGTTTTTATGGTTTTAGTTAGGTATTATTTAAAAAAATTATAATTGCCATAATTCGGTACAAATGAAAATATGTAGATAAGATGGGAACTCCTCGTTTTATGACCAAAACTAAATTTTATGTATGCATAAGCTAAGCTTTATTTGAAATACAAAAACAAAGAGAATCATTGTTTCTAAACTTTGTTTTTAATTAGTATTTATATATAATTGATAGCGTTTATTCAGGATACTCACCTTATATTACAGAATTATTTCTTTACAAATTCTATAGTTTATAAGAAAAAAGTTAGTTAGGCAATGGCTTTTATCAATGGTATTTTGCTGTTTAACCTAATAATTAAACTGCATGGCGTTGATTAAACTGTGTAGCTATTATTACAAATAAAATGGTGGATCTTCACCTCGCCTATGGGGTAAAAACGACCAGGTGACAATTTTTTGAAAATAAAAGCAAAAAAAACAGCTTTACAATGATGGATTAGCTTGGGAGTATAACTATGGTAATTTAACATAGTTAAATAGTTTGTTGTTCGATATGCGTTTTTCGTTTTCATGTATTTGGTTTGCGTTTTATAGTATATTTGCTAAAATTCACATTGGTTCTTTGTGCCCCCCCCCCCTTTCCTATAATATAGCCCACATATTTTTTTCATCCATAGTCTTAGTATTACAACCATTCACACAAATTAATGTCAACGATAAAAAATTCTCAGTTATGCAGCAATGGGGCTGCAAGACGAGAAGTTCTCAATTGTCGCGTAATCAAATCATTGTCAGGACGATATTTAGCGGAAATACTCGTCAAGGCGAAAAGTCATTCGATATCAGGATATACGAGATGGTTTCGCCGACAGAAATAGAAACGCCCTATTTTTTTCATTTCTTTATTCGCATTTGTAAATTGAATTACTGGAAAGAAATCGGGCTCTTACTTTGTCCAATTCTGTTGTTATTGAATATTTTGATAATCGTGATAAAAACATTATAATACATAGAGATACTTTACATATAATACATGATTGTTGATGCCCAAATTCAATCACTACATTTCTAAAACTTCAGCATATTTGTTACATAACTTCAGCATATTTGTTACATAATTTGAGCTGCATTTGCATGGTATTTAATCCTTTGTATTTTTCTATTGCTGAATTAATTGAATTAAAGAGAAATCAGAAATCAGAAAATATGGAGATGGCGCGAAAGAGATAGTGGATTTTGTAAGTTTTCTTCCTATTTTATTATTTGATAGATTGTGACATCGGAGTAATTATTCTTCTATAAGCAACCAACTTGGTTAAGATTATTTTCTAAGCTTGCTAAAAAAAAGTTTCTTGTTTTAGTTCTAGTTAGTAAGTTGCAGTTAAGTTCAATCAGGCAGTTAAGTCAGTTGTTAATATGAAATAATCAATCAAAGTCTTTGTTTCTTTATACTGATCGGCTCTCCACATGTTTTTTGGTGGCAGCGGTAGGATCCAGCATTATATTTGGTGTCATCGATGGGATCTTTTCATATTTTGATATCATTGGTGGTTCCAACATATTATTTAGAGCAACTAAGCAATTTAGCAACTTGTTTAAGATTATTTAAGCATAACAACTAATTAAGATTATTTTCTAAGCTTGCTTAAAAAAGTTGTTTGTTTTAGTTCTTGTTAGTCAGTTGCAGTTCAGTTTAATCATGCAGTTTAATTTGAGGTAAATAATCATATCTTTGTTTCTTTATACTGATCGGCTCTACATATTATTTGGTGACAGCAGACCTTACATATTTAGTTGGCAGCGATAGGATCCGACTTTATATTTGGTGTCCGACTACTCTACAAATTTTGGTGTCACCGGTGGGATATTCACGAATTTTGGAGTCATCGGTGGTTCCAACATGTTATTTAGTAAAGTAACTAAGCGATTTAGCACTTTGGTTAAGATATTTTTTTAAGCTTGCAATTAGGCAGTTAAATCAGTTGTAATTGAGATAATATGAAATAATCATTTCAAAAGTCCTTGTTTCTTTATACTGATCGTCTCTCCACATATTATTTGGTGGCAACGGTTGGATCCAACATTATATTTGGTGACATCGGTGGGAGGTCTACAAATTTTAGTGTTATCAGTGGGATCTTTACAAATTTTGGTGTCATCAGTGAGATCTCTACATAATTTGGTGCCACCGGTGGTTGCAACATATTATGTATTTAGTTGAGCGATTTAGCAACTTGGTTAATATTATTTAAGCTTAACAACTAGCTTGGTTAAGGTTACTCTCTAAATGCTACTTTATTATTTGGCAGATTATTACATCGGCGTAACTATTCTTGTATTATTAAAAGCAACTAGCTTTATTAAGATCATTTCCTAAGCACATCACTAGAATAATAGTATAATTATTTTAAATTTTAAAACTTCTGAAAGGTCGATTTTGTAAAAGGATATTTATCATTGAATTTCTAAACCATCACTTGTCTTTAGCAAAAATTTTGTTACTTAATTCACTTTCTACTTCATATTATTACTCTTTGAGATTGAAAATTTTTGAATCATTTTATAAACATTATAAGTTAAATAATAACTGTTTCGACACTACATCTATAACATGCTCGATATTGACAAAGAATCTAACTTTTTTTTTTTATTTTTCCAGACTTTGGTGTGTACAAATCCACCCTGCATTAGAAACGTATTTAGGATCAAGACAAGTCCAGCCAGTATCTGGTTGGGCATCTTTGGTGATAAAGGTATTTCTTTGATGGAATTGCCTAGACGTTGGGGGCCCAATGGATATTTCTCAGGTGGCAAAGATACAGTTTCCTGTCGGTGAGTGCTTTATAGACATTTTTTTAACAATAATTGTAGATCATAATATATATTCAATCTCGAATATAAAATTTTGGTATCAGTGGCAGAATGTATAACTAGATGTTCTATGTATGTGTTTCTTACGATTCAGTTATATTTTAATGGTTCCCCAAATATATCTTAAAATTCCGTTTTTAAATCGCGCCATACCAAAGAGTGAGGTATTCAGTGAGAAATTAACTGCACAAAGTTACGCTGGCGTTTCGGCGGAAAAAGATAGGCGTTCACCATCCCCCATCCCCCATCCCCCATTCGAAAACTTTAAATAAAACTTTAAATGCGAAATAGCAAGGCAAAGCAAGAGATTTTATTGTACAGGAATATTATATTATTACATCGCGTATCGTGGCGAACAATGTAAAGAGCCTGTGGATGTACGCCTGTCCCTGCTGGTAGCTAATGTATGCATAATTCATACGCCAACGAAAGATATAAATTAGCCTGATATTTCCGACCGTTTGCCTTGCTAGTCTCACTCGCCTGTAAGTTAAAAATTATTTTGATATTTCTACATGTGTTTGAAAGAATATGAGGATTGCAAACGATTCAGAGGACTTATTGTTCGGGTGATGGAAAGCAAATCATTTATTTAACCATTTAACTGTGGCACGCTCATTGAACTGTGTACACTCTAATGTGTCGTCAAAATCGAGGTATAGAGCCACTTTTCATTCATTTATTCAAAAAATATATATTTCAATAAATATAAATATGTACATAACATTTTTTTATTCGTTCAGATTTTTACCAGTAGGTACGGTATCCAGCATCATATCTAGTTTTGTAAACAATAAGAAGCTCTAAATGAATATAAAAATGATATCATAATTGCGACAAAAAACGAGGAAATAAAATTTAGTTTCACTTACAAATGGCCTCAAAATATTTTAAATCTTGAAAACTGAGATTTGAAGATGTTTTTTGTTTTACAAAATTTGCCATCTAAGTAGACAATGGTGAAGAATTTTATGACGAATATATTCATCAATACACAAAATTTTGCTACATCTTCATGACGAGTATACTTGACAATCATGGTTAACTGGTTGAAATAAATTCAGTTAGTGATTTCGTTCGATTCATTGTCATCCTGAAAATTTCTTTATGTTCTTTCCAGAAACTTCATCTCGCAAATTTAATATTTTTATGTTTCAAGTCTTCTTATAAGTCGTTTGGCACCATAATTGAAGAAAATATTCGGCATTTTCTTGAAAACTTTTGCACCTATTTAAAACTTGCATATATTATAGAACTCAGCATTGATTCACATTGAATAGTTTTGCATGGAAATTAGTAATTTATTCACTGTTAGATTAAAATCATCAAAAATTTAGAAATTCTGTTGATTACATTTTGACCAAGATCTCCTGGACCATTCCTAAGTAATTTCCAATCTCTATGTTTTTTAGTAAGGATTTCGATTTATCCACTAGCTAGATCTAACCTAGTATATATTTTTGTAAGGATTTCAATTTATCCACTAGATTGAACTTGTTCTTAAAGTAAAATGTCTTGTGTATCTTCTTATTCATTCACTTCAATTGACCAATATTTATTGATCAAATAATTGTGTGACAACTATTTGTGCGCTACAAGTCAAACAGAATTCACATTATTTGTTAGGAATTGTTTTGATTAGGTTGTGGCAAAGATTGTCTAGGCCGTTTCTAAGAAATTTTGAATCATCTGGTAAGTAAGGATTTCTAGTTATCCGCTAAATAGAATTTGTATTAAATTTGCATTTTTGCATCTTCTTGTATATTCAATTTTATTGACATCTTTGCATCTTCTTGTTTATTCAATTAATTGTGTGACAACTATATATTTCCAGCAAGTCGAGCAGGATTTAAAACTGTTTGAAAGATATTTATTTATTACGAAATGTGCTGATTAGATTTTGGCAAAGATCACATGTGCTGATTAGGTTTTTTAGTAAGGATTTCAATTTATTCACTAGCTAGAACTTGGCTTAAAATAAAATGTCTCTTACATCTTCTTATTTATTTGATTTAATCGTCTATAATTTATTGATCAAATAATTGTGTGACAACTATATTTGTCCAAGTTTCGGCAAGTAGAAGAGAAATTAAAACTGTACGAAAGATATTTGCTAGGAATTGTGCAGATTGGGTTTCGCCTGGTTTGTTTTTAAGCAATAATTAATCATCTATTTAATTAATCTCTGTTTAGTAAGGATTTCAATTTATCCACTAGATAGAACTTGTCTTAAAGTAAAATGTCTCCTACATCTTCTTATTTATTCAATTTTATTGACCATTAATTTATTGATCGAATAATTGTGAGACAACTATATATGCCCTGCATGGGACAGGAAACAAAAGATATGTTTTAAGAATTGTGCTGATTAGGTTTCAGCAAAGATCCACTGGACCGTTTTTAAGTAATTGTCAATCACCTAGTATGTTTTTAGTAAGGATTTTAAATTATCCACTAGATAGAACTTGTCTTAAAGTAACAATATCTTTTGCATCTTCTTATTTAGTCAATTTTATTGACCATTATTGATTGGTCAAATAATAGTATGACTACTATAAATTTCCAGCAAATCAAACAGAATTCAAAACTATTTGAAAGATATTTGTCAGGAATTGTGCTTATTAGATTTTGGCCAACATTGCCTGAGTCGTTTCTACGTAATTTTTAATCATCCGGTATGTTGTTTAGTAACGTTTTTTTATTTCAATTTATGCACTAGATTGAACTTATTTCAAAGTAAATTGTCTCTTGCATCTTGTAATTTATTCAATTTTATTGAAGATTAATTATTGATCAAATGATTCTATATCAACTATGTATGACCTGCAAGTCGAACAGAATTCACAACTATTCGAAAGATATTTGTTAGAAATTGGGCTGATTAGATTTTGACCAAGATTGCTGGGCAGCTTCTAAGTTATTTTGAATTATCTATTAGGTTTTTTTTAGTAAGGATAATTGAACCTATAATTGTATGACCACAATATTGTCTTGCAAGCGTATCCTATTTTTTTCTCAAAGTATTTTTATAGATGCACCTCTGCGTTTTTAACGAACAATCTCCATCAGCACATAGGTACAAACTCACCCTCCAAAATAAACATACGAGAATGCTACAACGTCGCCCACTACCACAGGGTGAAAATATCATTTGCATACAAAGGCAATAACATTAATTCGAAAGATTTTTCCCAGGGAAATTATTATTGTTGACGAAAATTCAAAGATTACACACAGCACAGCAACGGGAGAGTTAGAGCCGTTTCAGGTTAGGGGTTTCCAAAACTTTACCTCGGCAATTCCAAATGTATGTACATAAATATATGAACGTATAAATATTATGCAAGTGTGCTTTAGGTAATTTAGGTAACAACGATTATATTATTTCAAACTCGCGCGGTAAAGTTTCGCTTAATAGCGAGGCTTGAGGTGTTAGGAGAGCTTAACTGTAATTAATATTTATTACTGAAATAAGATCATTCTGATTTTGATATTAATATCGTATTCATACGATTTGATTGTTAAGCTTTATTGTTCGAGATATTTACCATTTGAAACGAATTAGGAAATAAATTTACACTACCGTCTCACTTTTTAACTCGTTGACTTGATTTGAGCTTTCATGACACAAAGCTTAAATATGAGCATATTTTCAACTCTTTTAAAGAAAAAGTTGTAGTTATTTTTCAGAAATTAAAATGATTTGTATAAATGACTGTTAAATTTATGTGTTTATATCACTCTTACTCTCAAAAAGTGATATATATTCCATAATTTGATCTTAGACTTCAAAAAGAATCTCTAACTTTGGGATAAAATTTATAGTTTGAGAGTTGTTTTAGTTGCTATTAATTTGTTTTGTTTTCAATATATAATTTTAATAACTTCATTCATACTTTAGCGTAATTTTAAAATTTACTAGTAGTTCATGGCTATTGATAAATGGAGTTTGAAATTTTGCTACAAGCAAAATAAAAAATATATAATTGTTTTGTGGAGACAATAACTTATTCATTATATACAGACAACTAGTTAATTTAGAAATAACATACCTCGCCAATTGGCATTTCACTCACATACGCATAGATTTCTGAAAATAAAAGACTTTTCAGTAATGTAGGGTGAAACAGGTATTTTCATACGGAATTATTTAACCTTTTCATATAACGAAGATCACTAAAATAAAAAGCATTTTAATATAAATTACTCAAAGATCGCTCTTATTCCAGGTATTTCAAACAATTTATCTATTTAATATCTATCTTAAATAATTCAAACTTATAAATAGTAATTTTGAGCAATGTTAACAAAAAATTTTGATCGTGCAATCACTAACAAATTTCTATTGATTTTAATTTATATGTTTTTTCAAAATGTTGGCATAACTATTAGTATTTTATTCAATTATTGAATAAAATAGTTGCTTTATTTTAATTCATTTATATTTTACTCATTATTTATAATTAGCTTGTACATTAAATGCGATAACTCACTCAGATTTTATAATTAAATTGCGGTATTAAATTATGTAGTTTGCTAACTATGTAGAAATTTAGAATAGAATTCAGATAACAAGTCAACTACGGTTTCAATTTCAAATTTTAATTTGCCTTCACCTGTTCTGAAGTTTTAAATTGTAATTTAAATTGCTATTAATTATCACATCTAGTTTTTTTTAAAGCGATATATTTTATTCTAGCATATTTCTTGAGAAGACAAACGAGCAGTCAATAACTCTTTTTTTAAACTTTAACTATATATATATATATATATATATATATATATTATATTAGATATGTATATTTAATAGTTTTGGCGTATATATGTTGCAGCAATGCCCACGAATTACGATTTTTACTTGAGATCATTTTTGAGATCTATAACAAAAACCTCAGATAATATTTGTTATACTGCTTGATATCGAGCTGACCGAGCTCGGGATCGAACTCAATTTTGAAATT